ACACACACACACACAGGGACTATTGGTGAACATTCCTTTCATATCAGCCAGGTGAAGAGTAAACAGTTTGTTTTTTTCTTTTATTCTGAACCCCACCTTAGTCCCGTAAAACACACCATAAAAATACTGGATAGATGGATGGAGATAGATAGATAGATAGATAGATAGATAGATAGATAGATAGATAGATAGATTGTATTGATTAGTGATTTTGTGTATCTATGTTTCCATGGTTGCACATATTAAAGATCAAAACACACATTTTTGGTAAGGCCATATCATTTCATAACATGAACCCCAACCATCAATCATGATTCATTTGTCACGTAGCAGATTTATGACTCATGATCTTTTCTGAGCAGTTTGATGACTGTTGCCAAATTTTTACCAGAATAAACCCCTTGCTCTCTCAATGAACATTTTCACCACAACCCTTCTCTTTTGTTTTTATGGTTTTATATGGTTATGAAAAGACTATTTACCAACCATTCCCGTGTTGGACATTACTGTACAACTTAACAACCTGAAAGGGACTTTCAGGCTTTGGACCGATCAGAAAAATGCATGTTTTGCTTGGCTTGTCTCAAACAGTGACGTGACTCCTCACAATGGAGTTGCTGTGCTAAACTTGGAGGCAACCATATATGTACAAGTCAACCAGTTTTTGTTGTTTCATTAACTCAGCCTCTCCGGCATCGACACCAACCGATGAGCTGTATTTATTTTCATGTTTGGTGATGTATGGGGTGATTCAATAAAATCTCCTTCCTCCAGATGTGATCGTTTGTTCTGCATTAAGAAATTAAGAAGGCAATTTACGAAGCTAACCCTCTGACCCTAAAGTCTCTTGAGAGGCCAGTAATGTTTTGGTTTGTACGAAGCTGCTATATGACACACCAAGTCAGGAATGTGCTGATAGAAACACATACATGCTACAAGAGAGAGAGGATGGGTGGGGGGGGGGGGGGGGAAGAGGGGCAAGGGGGGGGGTATGAGAAGGCAATTAGCAAAGTTAAGAAACAAACTTATTCCACACATATGATAGACTGGTTGAGATGTTCCGTGAGAATGGGCCGGGATGGTGTACAGTAATCCTAAGCAGGCTGGAGATGCATCACTATCATGCATCCTACAGTATAATGTAGTTAAAATAAACTTAATGTATGCAGTGCTTTATGAGCAATATAAACAATACAAAATTAGACTCAAGTTAAGGGCTGGAATTGAGGAACACGTAGAGCAGGGTTATGCAGGAACTGAATTCAAAGGCAAAGAAGACAAGTGCTATAAAATTCTGAATGTCTTTTAAGAGTCCGTCAGTTTCAGGCTGCGGTCTTAAAGTTGGACTTTGCTGTAAGGAATTATCAGTAAAAATCAGTTATAAAACTCCCTTCCTGCCTCGCCCTGTCATTCCTGTTCAAACAGAGAGCCTCCAGCGCAGACATAAAGGAAATCTGCACCAAGGCACGGTGCATGGAGTTGAACAATGTGAGCACACATGTACTCATTGTGACAAGGCAGGGAGAAACAGAACATGCCGTTCCATGAGCTTCTTAGTTCTTCTCTCACTTGGTTTGTTTGCCGTGGGACTCACGCCCCCTAGTGACTGAAGGATGGAAGTGTGCATTTTAAGGCCAGGAATTGCACAGGAGGTGTGGCATGATGTGGTCACATGTTAACGTCACGGTTACTCATTGACCATGTGCTTATCTGCTACATGAAACTTGATCAACGGGTCGGGTGTGGCTGATTTGTTAACTGTAGTAGAGGCAGAACACTCAACACAGACATCAATGTTAGTCTGTCTGCCACCACTTTGATCCAGATGGAAAACTCCCAGGTCATTTTAAATGGATTAACAGCAACATTTGCAACAAACATTTATAGTCCCCATGAAATTTACTGACTTTAGTGACTCCCTGATTTTTCCTCTAGCGCCACCTTGAGGTTGATAGTTGGGATTCAGAGTGACTTATCTTTACAACTATTGAATGGTTTTCCGTGAAATTTGCTCCAGTTATTCGAAGTCCCGAGAGCCTCATTTAAAAAAAATGTTTTGATCGCTTAACTTTTCATCTATAAAATTTAAAATGTCATTCCCATCAGCCTCAGCTGTAATTTATTTTTACTGTTAATTAACAAATGTTAGCATGCTAACAGTCTAAGGCTAAACCAGTGGATAATTTTGCTCAAGGAAATTCTCTGTTACAAAAGTATTAGCACCAAAATATACTTCAAGTATGAAAAGTAAAAGAACTCATTATGAAGAATGGTCCATTTCAGAATAATATACATTATATCATTTGATAATAATTATTGTTAAATAATGTGTTTGATGGGGTTAATTTCAACTACTTCATATTGAGACTTCCTCTCCTAATCTTACTTTATCATACAATAATACATCACAATTTATTTGTTGATTGTATTTTGTATTATTAATCTTAATATAAAAAGTAACTATCAAATAAACGTGGAGCATAAATGGAAATACTTAAGTAAAATACTAGTAGCCTACCTCAAACTTTACTATTTATAAAAGACAGTCTGTCATCTTTTTCCGAAAATGAAATTACTCATTTGTGCCCATATGAGAAATCTGAACATGTGATAGTCGTATCATTGCTCTTTGTCTAGCTGTGAAATGTCTACGCGCTAGAAATGGACATGACATCCCACAGAGAAAATGTCTCTTAGTCGACACATTTCGCTAACCTCTGATGTGCTGATGTGTGACCCCTACACTTTGATAACAATCCTGGCCATAAAACTGGAATATAGATATCCATAAAAAAGATAAACTCATTTCTTCTTTTGGTGTCTTTTGATCATCTTGTGTGAATTAGCAAGGAAGTGATCAAGAGAGGAGGGAGGGATGTAAGAAAGGGAGTGTGAAAGTGTGTCACACTCTCGTGCATGTCCGCATTCCTTCATGCATCTTTCAGGGTGCACACAAACACATATGAATAAATATGCATATGCATCTGTGTAAATACAGATTTTGGACTTTGTATATAAGCATGTGAGAGCTCTCATTCTGCACTGCGGCTTGGCAAAAAGAAACCAAAGAACAAGGGAAGCGACGGTCATTTAAGGCTGCATTAAACTGAGAGCAGTAATAATCAGAGACTCGTGAAGTCCAAGATTCGTGAAGCACATAAACTCCTGTAGTAGTTTCCAGATTCCTGCTGTGTGTTATGACTCACACACTCTGGCTTCTCCTCTTTCCCTCTGCTTTTTTCCTGTCTTATCTGGGAAAGGAGTGTGCAATTCAGATCAGATTGTTGCATGTGGGAAAGTAAAATCTCTGGAGTTATCATTCACGGAAAAAAATCCTCATATGGACACATGATCTAAGCAGGATATGTGCCATAAATATCCAATACACTAGATATTTTATACAAAACTGTTGATTAAGGTATGTTCTTGTTTTTATTTGTCAATGTGTTTGCCTTGGACGAGGCAAATTGTTGCCAACACACACATTCAAACAATCAAGATAGCGGAGACACTGTCACGAGGTATGACTCATGCTGATTTAATTCATAGTTCCTCTTTATATCTGCCTGTCCTCTGCCCTCTGCTTTTTTCATGCTTTTACTTCTCTCTTTATGCTGCATTTCCCCCGTTCTTATTGAGTACTGCTAAAAGAAATTAGTAAATAATTGAACAGAAAGGGGCTGAAGTGAAGTGTGAGAAACATTGAAACTTGATCAACCATGAAGGTGAGGTAAGATCGGGAAAGAAAAGAACTGGTTGTGTGAAGCTCAGGAGGGTGTTTGAGCCTCTGCCAGTTTCCCCCGGGGTGGTTCAAGGTTTTATTATCCAGTTCTCTGGGGCCCAGTGAGATATCCGCTCTGAACACAACTTTAGCCCATATGAACATTTCCAAGGTCCTGCCAAAACAATGCATATTGCAGCTTAGTTTTTTTCGGAAAATGATCCAGTTTCTTTCCTGTTTTTTGATAGTTTCATGCCAATTGTGTAGTTCCCAGGGACGGTAGGCTCTATGGCATTTAGTCACTTTGATGCAAAAAAGCATTTTTTTTCCCCCTGTGGTAAGGAAATATCTTACTGAGATATCAAATGCAGTTCTCATGACACACCATGCTTCAAAGATAATTGTTCAATATTCTCAATAGAGCTGATTTGAGCAGATAACCACCTACTCAGGGCATCTTTTCTTTCCTTTTGATTGTATTCTGAACAATGTGCCATTAGCTTACTTTCATTCTATAGTCGTCTCATCTCTTCTCGGGTATTCTGGGTATATTTGAAGCTTGTCCTTAGGTTTCTTCTTACTGTACGGCGTGTCAATAGTGTTTGCCCTTTTCTTTGTATTGAAATGTGATCGTTATAGTAACTGTGTTTATCAGTAAATCAGTTCAGTTATCATTAGTAGGAGCTTTCTGACGGCAGCTTCTCTGAAAAACAATTCAATGCCACCACTTAATGTTGTACTTGAAAAGGAAATGCAGCTGTCACACAGTATCTCACTTTATGTTTAGTCTAGATAAGAAGGTAGTCAAAATATATTTATTTTGGGTCCAAGGCTGACCAGAAACTATTACACTATGCAGCGAATGGTAGACATTATGCCTTTTATGGGCAAACCAAAGGAATTTGGTTGCATGCTTCCAGAGTAAACTTCATTTTGAAAAGACTATTCTACGCTTTAACTTTTAGCTTTAACTGTGTTAAAGTACTTTACCCTGGACATGTCTATTACTGCTTTCTATCATTTGTTGTGAACTGTGGTTTATGTGATCTCTATAGTTCAATCAAATACATTTGCTCTAGTTGTTCAAATGTCAACGTGTGTTTTGAAAAATGCCTCGAACATTGCCTTGGAGACAGAAGATACATTGTCGGTTAAAAAGGGGAAGATGTGGGTGTATGAGAGCACAAAGCAGGGAGGGGGGAGCAGGAAAGGAAAACTAGGGTGATGTTAAAGTGGGCAGGGTCTGAGAGACCAGCTGGGATTGAGGGAGAAAAGCAAGAGTATAAGTTCCCAACTTCCTACTGCCAGTATCTCTTTCTAAGCCGGCCAGCGGTGAGTCTCCACATCTCATTTTCCACTTTAATCTCTGCAGTGTCTAAACTTCTCCAAAATGAGCTTCAGAAGATCTACCGTGCAGTCCCGATCCACACCTAAGTACAGTTCTGCCAGCATTTATGGCGGTGCTGGTGGAATAGGCTCCCGCATTTCCTCTGCCTCCGTATCTTCCCTGCGTTCTGGTGCCCCAATGACCTCTTCTTCCTCTGCCTACAAGCTGAGCAGTGGAATGGGTGGTGGTATGGGCTCAGGTTTTGGAGGATCCGGTGCATCCTTTTCGACTGGTGGTGGTGGTGGTGGTGGTGCTGGTGCTGGGATCATCGGCAACGAGAGGGGAGCCATGCAGAACCTGAACGACCGCCTGGCCAACTACCTGGAGACGGTGAGGAACCTGGAACAGTCCAACCAGGAGCTGGAGATGAGGATCATGGAGGCTTTGGAGAAGGGAGGGCCCAACATGAGAGACTACAGCAAGTATCAACCCATCATAGATGACCTACGCAATCAAGTAAGCATGACACTGAATGCTGGCCTCTAGAATTAACAGGGGGAGGTTGAGTATGAATTGTTGAAAACTATGAAACAGTCGTTTTTGGTTGATTACTTTGATCCAGCGAGGTGAGACAGACAATGACGGAGGAAATTGAGATATAAATGTTGAAATGCTTAAAAAGTGCTTAATGTGGCCTCTACTATAAGATTCAATGAGTGCATGTGATGGCACGATTCAAACCTACTTGTGTCAGTAACTTTTATCAGTGTGTTTATTCTTCATCTTATTCCTAACGTTCCAAATTAAGATTGAGAATATTCATGGTGAGACTGGCAGCATTTTCTTTGTAGGTTATCACATTTCTCGCAAGAGAATGAAGGGTGTGGTTGCTGAGCTCTAACCCAGAACAGTTTGTGGCACAACTTGTTTGTGCCACAAACTGTTCTGAACTTCCTCTGATGAATCACCAACACGAGGGCATCGTCATGAGAGACAGACTGAAAAGCTTTCAAATAAACCTTCAGCATTTCCAAATGGTCCTGCTTGTAAATGGTGATTCTACAAGCATTCTCTGGTGTAGGAGGGCCTCAATGTGAAACAGATGTGTGGTAATGACACACACACAAAGGCTCTCGGACTGCCAGCGTGGGTGTGTGTATGTGCACACAGATGAGTGTGAGTGCACAAGTTTTATAACAATCAGCTTCAGTCTGCAGAGTCAAATGTCACATTCTTGTACAGACTCACAGTCTTCAATGGTACAAAATGACACATTGATGGTGGCACTTTTTCTTTCTTTACACATAAAGGCACAAGTATTCCCCCTTTTCCTCTGAGGCAGTTTAGAGTATAAACTCAAAAACATTCACGCACAAAGAATTTTACGATCTCTGCACACATTAACACACAGGGAGACATATACAAAGAAAATGACAGACAGAGAAAGTGCATCTGGGTGAGAATAGGAGAGGAAGAAAATCCTGTCTGTATGAGTTATTCAGACAGGAAACCCATGTTTCCAACAATGCTAAAACAAACCAGATTCTGTTCTGGCACGGGAACATCCTCTTTTCCTGTCCTTCAGTTTGTGGTTCCTCTTTTCTCTGCCCCTCATGATTGGAGCATTGAAGGGAGGGGCTTCTGGTTAAACAATTGTGTTCTTTGATAAAAAGCAAAAACACTTAAAAAAAACTTTATTCATTTTTCCTTTCCAGATCTTTGATAAGATCGGCGAAAATGCTCGTTTTGTGCTCCAGATCGACAACGCCCGTCTTGCTGCTGATGACTTCAAAGTAAAGTATGTTGATATTCGTGTTGTTGAATTAGTTAACCTCATATATCCTGCTCGAAGGCAGAAATGCTCTGGTGTCAAGAGTTATAGACTTTGCAAATGGAAACAAGTGCAGAGTTTGTACAGTGCATATAGAATATCTGACAATAGGATTTCAGCAACTGCAGCTTTGAGTCTGAAACACTTCTTTGAAACCACAGTCATACCGTTTCGTAACTTTATACAGTACACCACGATGTGAATAACAGCTGATATAACAGCTGATATCTGTGACAGGGTTTGTTTGTGTGAACCCCTACAGGTTCGACAATGAGATGGCAATCCGCCAGTCTGTGGAGGCCGACATCGCTGGGTTGAAGAAACTCATAGATGACACCAACATGACCAGGTTGAACATCGAGAGCGAGATTGAAGCTGTCAAGGAGGAGCTTGCCTTCCTGAAGAAGAACCACGAGAATGTGAGTTCACAGTACACCCAGATCAACCGTAGCACTTGGGACAGTGGCTCACGAGTCACACACCTTTGAATGCGTTGCTTAATTTCTCTCTTGCTGTTGGTTTTATAGGAGGTGATGGAGCTGAGGAGTCAGATCTCCCAGTCAGGCGTGCAAGTGGACGTAGACGCTCCCAAAGGTCAGGACCTGGCCCAGGTCATGGCGGACGTGAGGGGCAACTATGAGAAGAGTGCTATGAAGAACGCGGAAGATCTCAAACGTTGGCATGAAAATCAGGTGATTGAACGCTTTAAAAGGTAGACAATACTCCTACAATTCTCTTGTTTGTTGGCTCACAACCTTTCCCCATCTCCCTGTCAGATTGCAGATGTGCAGGTGGAGGTATCACAGAACACAGAAGCCCTCCAGGGAGCCCAAATGGAGAGGAGTGACTCAAGCAGACAGATACAAACCCTGGAAATTGAACTTGCATCCCAACAGAGCTTAGTAAGCATACATTTTACAAAAATGTGTTTTATATCCTGTTTTCATTCATTTTCATTTTAATGACATGCATGAAATAATCAAATTCTATCATCAGATTATAAAGTCTTGTCGCAATATTCTTCTTTAAAATACCATGGCCATTACTTAACACCCTCTTTTTCTAAAAGGTTGGAACTTTCCCATGTTTTCCTATATTAGATTGGCTGGCACACTTTTGATTTCTCTTTTTCAATCCTTTATCAGAAAGCCTCCTTGGAGGACACATTACGCAACACAGAGCAGCGAAACAACAATGAAATGGAGAGATACAATGGAATTATTATGCGTCTGGAGGAGGAGCTGACCAACTTGCGTGCAAACATCCAGCATCAGACGCAAGAGTATGAGCAGCTGCTGAACATGAAGATGAAACTGGAGGCCGAGATTGGCACTTACAAGAATCTCATGGATGGTGGAGACTTCAAGTAAGAATTAGGTGGTGGAGAAAAAAACAGATCCAGAGAAGGTGTTGGTGGAGGTGGAGGTGAATACTAAAAGCACTTAACATGGTTTCCATGGTCAAGTACATCCACATCATCAAGAGGCAATAGTTCCAGTCAGTTACTCGTTCAACATGAATATTTTGAAAGTCAAAATGTTTCCTTTGTGTTTTCCACAGGCTCCAGGATGCACTGGATGAGCTGGCAGCTGCAAGCTAATTTGGAACAAAGAATGTGGAACCATCCCAACAATGAAAGCAGAAAAAGCCACAACTATGCATTGTGAAAAAAAAAGTACATGCTGGTCCAATTATCTAAAGCCAAGTTTAAACCAAGAACACATTCTGTGTAAACCATAAAGATTTAAGCAGTTCTGAATAAAGGCATTTGACCACACCACAGTGAAACAGGCAGGGCTATTTGAAGAGCAGCCATTGCTTGACCTGACAGCAAAATGAAAAATGAATAAAACCACTTGTTGACCAGCAGTCATGTCTCTTGTGCATTTGCTATATTTACATGATGCAAGAACATGGATGTAATGTTTTGTGATAAGTTTTGTGATATATTGTTATATGATTTAAATTGACAGATATTTATAAAATAAACAACCACACCCCAAAAGACAAATGGCTGACAAATTACATTCATTTATTTCTGGCTTAATTATGAAAAACAATCTGGGTGCTTGAAGCTGCCGTAATCAATGTTTGGCCACTGGAGGGCAAAGGAACTTTAAAACAAGCCAGGGGACACATCTGTTTTAGTATTAATGTGCAAACACATCCAGCGCACACAGGGCAATATTATCTTTCCATTAGAGTTACGTTCCTGGTTGAATAACAAATGCACAGTATTAACTGGCCTTTTAGCTTTGGTTTGGTCTCAATCAACTATTCTTGTCTACAGCTTGTTTCTAATATGAATTGTGTAATTCGCAATACAGTGCAAACCTTTGTTTACTCTCTTTTAATACTCTCCTAAACTTAAAATTTGAATGATTTATTCCTTTTAAATCCTGTTCTTATTCGCTTATTGAATAAAGAAAAGCGGAACACAAACTCCTCAGTGGATGTCCATGAAATGCTACTTTATACGTACATTTCAGAGGAAGAACTATATATTTTTACTACATTACATTCAGTTGACAACTGCATGCTCGTTAGTAGTTTCCAGATCAAGATTGTACATAGAAAACATATGATGAATTTAGAAAACATAATGCATTGTTCTAGATTAACAATGCAACAGTACTCTTTTGTTGTAGACTTAGCATCCCCTTTAGCAGCTTTAACAGAATGCTGCTCACAAATAAATGCATGCAGTCCAACGTAGACACCATCAGGGAAAAAGACCCAGCAGAGAATGTACATTCTGCACCAGCTCAGGAAGTTCAACCTGCCTCAGGATCTGCTGATCCCATTCTACACCGCAACAATCCAGTCTGTTCTCTACACATCCATCACTGTGTGGTTTGGATCTGCCACCTACCAGGACAGGAACAGACTACAACTGACAGAACTGCAGAGGAAATCATTGATGTCAGGTAGGAATCATCACTTCAGACCCTTCACACCCTGGACACAAGCTGTTCCAACTTCTCCCCTCTGGTTGACGCTGCAGAACACTCGACGCCAAAACAACCAGACACCAACAACAGTTTCTTCCCGCAGGGCATCACTCATATGAACAGTCAGCATCACTCATACACTGTCAATAAATGTAACACCATAACATCCACTTGCTACCATTATAAACAACATTTTCACAGTTTGCGATGCATGTTTTTTTTTTTACATGTACATCATGCACTGTCACTGTTGATATAAATCTTGTATGTATAAACTATATTTTAACACGTACATTCAGTAGTTGTTTCTTTGCATTATTTGTACGGTTTACAACAGAAACACTTGACTTGTGTGTAGACATTTTATCTTATTTTTGTTGTTGGTCATTTGTGCCTTTTATGTTCTTTTACTTATACGTATTGTCTGCTGAACAGTCTTTGTTGTTCTTCAGCTTTATTTGCTCAGCTCTGGTGGTCCCTGTTCTTAGCTGTTAGGTCTATTTCTCACTGAGTGTAATGAAAAAAAGTCAAATTCCTTGTTTGTACATCGTTGGCTAACAAAACTGATTCTGATATATATGAAACATGTAACCCTCATATTAACAACAAATTTAACGTACAGGATTACTGACTATATCTACTGACCCCAAGAATAAAGTAAGAAACAGACATTTTCTTCTCCAAACATTATTAGTTATGTAATTAATGCCATCTGTAGAAAAAAAACAGATCATTAAATTGCAGTTACTTTGAATATTAGGTAAAACAAGAATAGACAGAGCACATGAGGAAATCTGTGTCTGCTGCATCTGTGTCTGTCTACTTCAAAATGACAGAGTGCCCCGAGTGTGATTCTTTAAATTAGGACCCATAGCAAACATTTTATCTACCCTATTGTGTCTATTAAAACATCATAGGTTGCAATCTGGTGCTTTATGGTGTTCGGCAACCAATACATTCATATTTAAGATTATTATTTAAAAATAACCAATTATTACAGAAAACAATTATACAAAGTCATCAGAAACACATTTATTGACAAATGCATGGAATGATGAATTAAAGCAGCCACCTATAAGATATGACAGAAACATATAGGCTTCCTCTTGGGAATCTGTGGGGACCGAAGTTAGTAGAATGAGGGTTAAAGCTGTATTGAGATCTTTGGTCCATGGATTTAAAGACTGCTATAAAAGAGAAATAAATGAAAAACCGTGAAAGTTACAGCCAGAATGGAGTAGCCTAGTAGGCAAACAAGAGAGGACACATGCCCGTGAACGGCGATGCGCGCTCCCGAAAATAAACCTCTGACGCCTTCATCCGGGAACTACTACGGACTCGTTCTCCAACATGGCAGCGTCAGGTGAGGCTTACGAGGGTGAACGATCTGGGTCGGTTGGGTGGAATTTCAGAGGGTTTTACCGCGATAAAATTAAACATGTTTAGTTTTCGGGATTGTTAAAGTGTCGTCTCGTTGATTAGCGTCGTTGTCCCGCGTGTATAAATCGGTTCGTCAGTTGTTTTGGCCCGGTAAAGACGTAACTGCTGGAGGAAGGCGAACGAACGATGCAACGATTTGCACGATCTGAACATTTTAACCTCATGTTACACATCACATGTGGTATTTTCCTATGGAAAAAAGTCATTTCGATGTGTTGGGCTGTCCGCTCTCGGGTCTACGTCGTATTACACGTATTGGACAGTGTGTGACCTGTTAAGAAATGTTGCTAACTGCGTGCGGAGCTGGCACGTTGTATGCTCGTAGCGGAGCTCGCCGTGGCGCTCACAGCAGACAAGCATCGGGCGCAAGCGCGTTTCCGTGGAGGAGGAGTTGGGCCGAGAAGTCCGTGCAGCCCGAGGAGTCTCTCCACGTGTGCAGCCTGGCTCCCTGCTATCGGTGTTTAATGAAACCGGGCAGCTGGGCCTGTCGGGTCGACTCTTAAATACTTCCCTGGCAGCTTCGCAACTTTGAGCCGTCCCACCCGACCGACATAGTCTTGCTCCGACGATGGCGCACTTGGATCCTGGCGCTGCGACGTGCACTAGGCCCTAAAACCTAGCCTGCTAAACAGGGACACTTCCCTCGTCGGCACTCCTTTGCTGACTAAAGACAAAAGCGATCTGCGTATATAGCAAACACACAACCTGTGTGTTGGCCCTCGTAACTGCTATGCTATTGTTGCGTTAGCTGAAGTAAATGCTGCCCAAAGTTAACGTTACGCAGCTCCCATGTGGCTAATGTCACAGTAGTGAGGACCACTAAAAAAAAAAAGCCATTCTGCAGTCAGTGTATTACTATTCAGTTCTAGTGGGTATAAGCAGTCGAGGCCAGTTGGGCCCGTTGATTGTAAACAATGACTTAGCATTATGTACTGGGGAAGAGTTGGTAACAGTCTCTATGTGAGCAGGTTTTTGTAACTGTGTGTGTGAAGAATGTCCTGACAGCTGGGATTTTCACAATAAAGCTCACAGACAGCTTTATTGTACCTCCCCTTTTTTTTATAAATCAGACCAAAACAAGCCAGACCTGCTCTATGAGCTGAGCTGTGTGGCGCTCCAATGTGCAACCGGAAACTGTTTGCTATTCAAGCAGACTCCAAGGTGTGTTCCTTTAATAAAAAAAAATTAAAAAAAATGCAGCAAACATGTGGTCCTGTGGGTTGAACATGTCACAATTATTGATCATTGCATTATTGGGGCTGAACCAATAGAGACAAACCTCTTGTGATCGGTTGACAGACCACTCCCTGTGTGTTTACTTTCCAACAGGAAAATAAGTCAGACATTGTCTCATCAGCTGTTCACATGAATGGAGAGAGACTCACACAAACCCAGACCGATGTTGTGTTGGCGTTTAAAAGATTTAGTCTCGCAGCATTGCATTTCACTGCATTAATGAGTATTTTGTCTAGTGAAAGCCAGTGAAGCAGTCTGACATCCCTGTTCTTACGACTAATTAGCATAAGTGTACCATTTAGCCAAATTTAAATGTATGAAATGAAGGTAAATTTAGGCTTTAAAGACTTCTTTTGACAGATATCCGTATAGACGACAAACCCATGGCTGACTATGTACTCTTGTGTTCATCTCCCCTTTAGCTAAGAAGAAGAATAAGAAGGGGAAGACCCTCACTCTGACTGACTTCCTGGCAGAGGACAAGGGAACCAGCAATGCGCCCCCCAGCTACCCAGCCAAGTCCACTAGCTGGGCCGACGAGACCGATGACTTAGACGGAGATGGTGAGCAGCACACACTGAAATGCACACAGGAAGTTTTTATCTGGCGAACCTCGGATCTGTCTTGCATTTTTCCGTCTAGCTAGAGAAAGATCAATATCAGAATGCAGACACTGAATGTAATATGATGTGTTGTTGCAGAGCGTTATTGGTCTTTTATTTCCAAGTCCTTTCAAGCTATACAGAAGTAAGAACAGGTCGGGCAAGTTGGTGAATCATGTATAATCACGATCATGGAGAGATGGTTTAAGTTTTCTGTTCAATTAGCCATAAACTAACCTCTATAATGCCACCGAGGGATTGTAATTATCTGTAAACTAATATCTCATAATCATGGACTACTTCATGGCCTTTGTACACGCCCTGTAAAGAAAGAAGTCAAGTATAACATGCATTATAAGGAAACAAAGGTTGAATATCCTGTAAACAATTTGATTTGGCTGAGAAAATAATTTGTTGTTGGTCAGTAACTGAAAGTAAGTTTTATGTTCTTTGTTTCTCACCCCTCCAGTTTCAACCTTGTGGCACACGGAGGAGGATTCATTCCGGGCATCGGCCATTGACCGGTCCATCCTGCCCACAGCACCTCGCTCGGCTCGTGAACCCAATGTTGACCGGTCCCGACTGCCCCGCAGCCCACCGTACACGGCCTTCCTGGGCAACCTGCCCTATGATGTCACTGAGGACTCGATCAAAGACTTCTTCCGCGGCTTGGCAGTAGGTGTAACACACACACACGCATTGCAGGACATATAACACATGGCACTTACGGGGGTTACAGCTACTTAAACTCTTTAGTTTTATAAGGAAAGAAAAGGTGAAACTCGAGTGATGGTTTCAGTCGCAGTCTTTGTTGTTCTGCACAGGAGCAACAAATGATACAACGCCCTCGGGGCGGCTGTTAACACACTGCATGACCAGTGAATTGGTTTAGTAATAAATAACAGGACGTACAGGTCTAACTTCGTTTCTTTTTCCCTCCTTTAACTCTGGACATTAGGAGTGTTAGCCTGGTTCACACTGGACATAGAAGCGCCGCAATTTTTGGTTCAGCGGCAGGTTCGCGATCATCAGCGATAGTTTCTGCGTCTAGTCTATTTTTGCCGTCTGCAAATATGGAAAGAACACGCACTGATATTCTACTATAAACAATATGAATTCTATATATATCAGTGTTTCCTATTAATAACCTAGACTGTGGTGGACGGCAGACTGTCCTCAGTGCTGATCTGCAGCAAACTCGTTAACCCGACCGACACGTCTTGAAACAAAAACCCTGCCTCGTTTGTAATGCTTTGTGAGTGTGACTCTTTTGCTGTGTCATCACCATTCATGTTTATATGTTCATCTAAGAATCTAATTTCTTCCCCCCCCCCCCCCACGCCTACTACTGTCGGTGTCTCCTATTCTTAAATGGGTGAACTGTACAGTGCTGGGCCCAGATCAGTGCATTCTCTGTTTTTATGTTATTCTGTCACCTTCTTCACCAGATCAGTGCAGTGCGTCTGCCTAGAGAGCCCAGTAACCCAGAGAGGCTGAAGGGCTTCGGCTATGCTGAATTTGATGACGTGGACTCCCTCCTGAGGGCCCTGAGTCTCAACGAGGAGGTGAGAAGATGCAACAAAAACTTGGTTTTATAGTCGTTGCATTTTTATTTGAACTAAGCATGAGTGACAAAGATCTATAGTTGTACCATGAATTAGTCAGTTTCTTCTTTTCACAAAGATGTATACGGGACAATGACTAACTACTCAATTTGTTCATGCCAACAGAACCTGGGAAACCGAAGGATCCGTGTAGATATTGCAGACCAGTCGAATGATAAAGGTACATCGCTCACTTTTGTTTTGCTGCAATGTCTTCTGGTCACGAGGTTGGGAATATGTCCTTTCACCTTTATTCTATAATTAAACTTAATATCGCCTCTTCTCCACTCAGAGAGAGACAATGGTTCTATGGGAGGCCGAGACAGGGGTGGACGGATGTCGGACATGGGGCCCGACAAGACGGACAGTGACTGGAGGGCTCGTCCCACTTCAGATGCTGCCGACGATGGACCTCCCAAGAGAGAGGAAGCTTTTGGAGAGAGTGAGTCACAATTGTTGTTGTGCGTGCTTTGACGTGAATAAATGTGTTTGTGGTTTTGGACAGAATGGACCTATGAGACGGCAAAATTCACTATTCGGAACATAGTTGCTCATTATCCATAATTCTTCCTGGTCACATATTCGCAGCGATACTCTCTTGCGTTAGCTACTTAGGCTGCTGAATCTGCAGTGGGTGGCTATATGAACGATGTGGAGAGAAGGACTCCACACATTAAATGTTTGAGGTGTCACTACAGATATTCAACGCTTCAGTTAAATTGTCTGCATACAGCTACCGAAAGGATGTCGCATACTGAACTGAACGTCTTGTACCAAACGGCGCACACACACACCGTTACACCCCTAGTGGTAAACTAATCAACTATTCTAAAGTGTCCAAATTCACTCTGATTGAAAAAGGTTTCCCCTGATTTTGCTTCAGAGTTGTGATAACTGCTTTATATACCTTTTTATAGTGCTATGTCTATATTTTTTGCTAAATGTTGACTCGAAAATAAAAATGTATGTATGTAAAATTTTTGATGTCAGACCAGCATTTCACGAGCAGTGAAATTCCATACATGAAATGTCATCATTGTTCTGTTACAATTCTTGCAGGATCACGGGACCGCTATGAGTCAGATCGTTTCAAAGATGGGCCACGGCGGGACAATGACCGCTACGATGGAGGACGAGACCGCTTCCGAGATCGCTATGATGACAGGGACCGTAGAGACTTCGATAGAGGAGGTGTGTCTTTGTGCTTGTTGGGATTCAGTATTACCTGGCTGTATAAGCAGCTCTTTGGCTTCCTGATCATAAGATCCACAAAATATATATTTAATTTTTTTTACATGCCCTTCCTAATGAAGTCATTGGCTAACACGACTCCCTGATTGCTCTGCTGCAAGCTTGGCTGTTAAATTTGTCTTTTCGATGCAACTTCTGTCATCCATGCCAGCACGCATTAACCGTTGAGTCTGCACGCTCAGGGATCCAATCAGCCACTATGTGGTTCAGAGTTCGGGTCTAGTTGAGATGTGGACCGCTTGTGGGCACAATCCGGACAATTTATGAAACCTAGGTCTCAAATCATCTTCTCCTCACACCGGAGATCCTCTCCTCCAGTGAGAGCAAAGGAGAAGAGAGGAGGAAAGCCGGGGCTTGAGACCCACTGGATGAAAACTCAACGTTTCCTGATTTTGCTGCTTCAAAATAAAAGCTTTTAAATAACAACGTAACAGGACTTTTGTTGTAAAGAGTTCTTAATGTGTTTATTCATCATTTTACAGACGCTCCTTTACCGTCGGATATCACTGCGATAAGGCAAGCCTCATTGAAGTATCAAGTGTGGACACGCATGTGCAGACAGAACTGAGTTCAGATCTGGCGCATCGCAGAGGTGTCATTGAAAAGAGTGAAAACACGGCCCTTCTTGAAACCGGACTTCTTTATAAACTAAACTCTGTTTTCTCTCTTGCCATCCTTCCAGGTTTTGACTCTCGTGGTGGTAGTGCTGGTCGTGACGCAGGAGGAGGTCGTCGTGCCTTTGGCACCGGCTTCCGCCGCGATTATGATGACAGTCGAGGTAGCAGTGATCGTTTCGGGGAACGTGGGGAACGCGAGGACCGGTATGAGAGAAGGGAGGATAAGCGTGACGGTAAGAGCTCAACATACAAATAGTACAGTTTGTCAGCATTATTCATGAACTGATCACAACAAGTAAGGTTTCTGAGTAGTGTTGTTGTTTGCTTGAGTTATGTTCAACGGTAATTTAAGGATTTTATATTAAGCACTAATTAAATTAATATTATCTAAAGAAAGCTTTTAAGAACTTAAAAATGATGTTTATATTTTCACACTTCCCTCTTTAAAGAGTACAGTTTCTTCATATATTTACAGCCATACAACTTCATATTAATATTATATATATATATATATA